CCCGCCGCCCCCCGGCCCCGGAGCCATCGCGGTGCACAATATGTCAGCCCGCGCCCCCGGAGGAGCGGGGCCCAGGGAGTTTTAGTTTGTTAACAGGCCGCGGGGGGGATGAGGATGAGCTGGAGGAGGACGAGGAGGGGGCGTCGTGCCCTCCCGGGGAGCAGCTGCAAGGCGCCCGGCGCCAGCCTCGGCGCCCGCCTCGGCGCCCGCCCAGTGACGTGGGCCAATTATCAGGCCAATATTACCGAGTGGATGCAGAGCTCTGCCGCCCAGGGCCCAGGCCGCCGAGGACGCCCTCCGCCTCTCCGGCCCCTCGACGTTTCCTATTATTATATTCCTTAAGTCTCGTCAATCTAGTCCGCGTCCCAGGGGATGAAAAATGTCTGCTGTCCGCGCGGCCGGGCCGGGGTGGGGCGGCGGCCGGGAGAGCTGACATCGAGGAGGGGGAAGAAATGCGAAGAAACAGGAAAAAATTACAAGACGTCTAGTTTGGGGGCTAAGGATGAGTGTCACCGACTGACTATATCGTCTTGTTGGAGGCGAGATATTAACGAATCTCGAGGTGTTATGGTGAGAACGGCGGAGAGGAAAAGTATACTTATACTCCGTGTTCTAAATATCTTGGTTTTATAAAATAATGCAAAATTGTGGGGTCACCCGTACCCCTGCACCCATCGCGGACACCGGAGCACCCAGCTCGGATGGGATCAGGTGTGCTCTGCTCTGGCCTGGCTACTGCACTGGACAAGCAAAACGAGGTGTCGCACCTTTGCAGACAGGAGCGATGAACAAATTTTAATGGCTATGTTCATTTAAAACCACTAAAAATCCGCAAATGTGCTAAAAACGAGGGGCGTGGAACTGGGCACAATATGTGTACATCGGGAAAAACAATCAGAAACAATCGTGAAACGATCATACACAATCACACACAACCGAAAACAATCACATACAATCCGAAACAATCACACAAAATCCGAAGCAATACCAAATTATCGCCACACAATCACACACAATCATGACACAATTTTTCAAAATATGTCACAGTATTTCGCCAACAATCTGAAACAATCAGAGACAATCATCGACACAATCATACAGTATAACACAAAATCTGAAACAATGATTGTGTAGACACAAAATGAGTGCTTTGATGAGCAGTTTGTATTGCCTTTGTAAATACACATTAAAATCTTGGCACCTTCCAAAGGTGCGACCGAACACCCGCGCTGGATCGTCCGTTCCCTAAACGGACCCGTGGTTGCTTAACGTTTTAAAAGTCTCACAACTCGCATCGCTGCTCTGGGGTGCGCAGTGCGCATCGTCCATCCGGCGCTAAGCTCGGACCGCTCTAAGGGCCGTGTGCGCCCACGAGGTAGGCAGACCATCGCGCGCGCGTGCTCTGCGCAGCTCTCCCGACTGTGCGGCGGGCGCTCGCGTGAGCTGGAGCTGGGACCCGACGGGGACGGGCGGTTATTGACGGCTCGCCGTTGACACTTCATCGGGGTGAGGGAGGCGACTCGTTACCGTGTGGAGCGCGGGCGGGGGCGTGCCGCGGGGCGTTAGTGTTCGCGGCACCGTGCTGAAGAAGTGCCGGTAATGTGTATGATGTCGGGCCGTGTCACGGGAGGGGG